AAGTTGCAAATTCATATTTCTCATGTCAGGAAACCTAGAAATACAAGATTTCATGTTCATGCTGTTGAAACTAACAAAGATATTGTGAATTTTTGTAATCAAATCTCCCCCTAGAACACCCCGTATCTCCTAAACCAGCAACATCATCATCAGGCATATTGGGCTAAATCTCATTATTTTTGTGTTTACTATCTGTAGTTCAGAGATTTCCCATTCTAAATGAATCACCCTGTACATACCAAGCTAATAAAAGCGTGGTAAAAATATTCATGGACGTTGCGCTCTCAAGTTATTTGCACGCCCTGTATACGAGTTATGCGTTGCCCATCCACTTGAAACTCGATTCTTTGTTTCAATCGACTTTGGTATTCGTTCGATATCGATACGTTCACCTATCGATTCGCATTCATATCTGATATTTCTAAGAGAGCAACGCAGGAAAATGTTTAGGAAGTTTGGTAACAATGACATAATACCGTATCGAGTGACAGGCAGGCTGTGGAAATCTTATCTTCGAAGTATTTTCGAAAGGGTATCATTAGTATTAGCCGGTCCAGCACAAAACTATGAAATCATTGACCAATGCGAAACACAGGGCCGCATTCAGGTTCCAAGAATTACAAATTCTACAATAGTAGATTGTTTTATTAGGATCAAAAGTGACACTGTGTTTGACAAGCGAATTTTGCATTTGCGAGGCGGAGCGTTTAGCGAAGCCGAGCGAAAGCAAAATTTGCGAGTCGAGCAAAGTCACTTTTGATCCGAATGAAACATGCAATTTTTTTTGCAAAACATGTGAAGTAACCACCAATGCCGTGCCATATGTATGCAATGCAACAAATATTGACAAATAATCCATGTGGTGAGAATAATCTACCTGCATTAATTAACAGCAGGTTAGGTTTTCTAGGGACCAGGTGCTCTAATGGCAAATACCGCGCCAGTGCCAGCTATTAGAAACAAGACGTGGAAAATGTTAGGTTAGTGAGCATATCAACAATGATAATAGTAATAGTAATTATTTATTCCTCTCCATACTGGCATACTACACTGTGTTTGACTGGATAATCAAATGAAGCTGAACAATATCGTTGTATGAGACAAAAAAACTATTGCTTGCCGTGATTATTCAAAAACAAGTTATCCATCCCGAGAATAACGAATGAAATACAGATCAAGCACGTATTTGAATCTTGAAGGCTTCCCTGATCAAAACAAAAATACTTAACTAAGATGTTCATAATTCCAATACTAAACTATAATAATGTGTATTTATATCTCCAGCATGGGTATGAAATGCCAAATCTGCTGAAATCGGAAACAAATCAGGTATGCGTCTCAACCCAAATAACCAACCGTCACAATGTTGTTTATTCTTGATAACATCTAGTACATCCTTTTTAGTTCCTAGGAGCTGAAGTTCAACTTTAGCTCCTAGGAACTAAAATTCAACCTTAGCTCCTAGGAACTAAATATGTTGCCTAGCAACATACCTATTTTTGTGTCAGTAATAGAAACGTCAATTTGAAAGCTGATTTTGGTATCAAAATGGACGACTTTTGTGTCGGTTGCAGAAAAAATAGACGTGTGCGTTTTCTTCTGAGGTGTAATAGATTCGAAAGTATAGAGCGTATGCAACTACAGCTTCAGTGGATGTCTGTTAAGAAACTTATAAAATTTCGAACGCTGATTTTCATTCATAAACTAGTCAAATAATATGCTTCCTGAATATCTGTCAAGGAACCTACAGTTCCCGTCTGACATTCACTCATACGATACCCGGCAAAGGAACCATATAAACTGGGCGTCAATTGAAACGTTGATAGTGAAATTTGGCATCAAGTTTGACTTCTCATAATTTCTAAAATATTGAACAAATTTTGAATTGCCGCCCAGATTCTGAATGCCTTTTTCATCGTCTTTCGAACCGTTCCTTACAGCTTCTTCTTAATTCATCAGGACCCGTGATACAGGGTGAAACAAAGTTTCGTGCATTTTGAAGAAAATTTCTCCGCCCCCCCCATTTTTTCGGAAGACCACAATGCTTATATTTTATTCAGGCATTTCATAAATAGCAACCATACTTCGGGACGTTTTCGAGTTTTTGCCAAAAGCTACTGTGGTTTCCGAAAAAAAAAATTTGTTTTGAATTTTTTTTAAACGGACTGATTACCTGTATCCTCAAAACGATGAATCAGTCTATTTACATGACTGACTTATTGGAAATTGTACTTAAATGAGTTTGGGTATATCCTTATCGTCGTAGCCTGAAATAATAATTATCTGTACTGAATTATAGTTCATATCTCTATACTGATCTCACCTAATGATTTTCCATTTCCACCCGATTTGAACGAGAACGAGGCATCTTTGAATTGTTTAGGACCCGAATTACACTGACGTTTTCATGAAAATTGGCAAATGATATAACCTCTATGCATATCTACATTGTTTCAACAATACGTTGTTATAGAAACAAGGTATCGTTGTTTGATTTTGTTGATGAGATGTGTTGATTTATGCTCACTAAGGTAGAAAACTTTTATCATAGACTGCAAAGTAATAACTTATTGATTGTTTTTGAGTAACCTGGTATACATATCTGCTCCTACGATTTCCTGAAATGCATAATAGCATCTATTTTTGGAACTCCTCTAAAATTAGTCCATTTAAAAAAAATACAAAAAAAAAATTTATTTTCGGAAACCACAGTAGTTTCTGGCAAAAAATCGAAAACGTCCCGAGGTATGGTTGCTATTTATGAAATGCCCGAATGAAATATGAGCATCGTGGTCTTCCGACAAAATGGGGGGGCGGAGAAATTTTTTTCAAAATGCACGAAACTTTGTTTCACCCTGTATCACGGGTCCTGATCAATTTAGAAGAAGCTGTAAGGAACGGTTCGAAAGAAGATGAAAAAGGCATTCAGAATCTGGGCGGCAATTCAAAATTCGTTCAATATTTTAGAAATTACGAGAAGTCAAACTTGATGCCAAATTTCACTATTAACGTTTCAATTGACGCCCAGTTTATATTCGATTCATTTTAGGTCTTCAAATTAACGGATAACGTATAATTTCATTTTGTGTGGACCGGTTTTTATCAAGGCCGACTCTGCAATGAACGGTTGGGTAACGTCGCGCGCCGGTATTTACCGAGATTATTTCACGAGTTAATTAACGGTCCATGTCGATTGTGTGTGCTAGAACATAGAGAACGCCAAGCAATTACGGGTGCGTGAATTTGTTTTAGTCTGAGATAATTACTTACTGATAATAATTAGATGGCGTTATATGCGAGGTTGTAGAGGCCTATGGAAACCACACAGACATAATGAAATGTTTGTATAGTATTCAAACGAACATTGTACTATTGTACAGGGCTTTCAGGTTCACTTTCGAAACCCACTTCAACTATTTTTGAAAGCTATGAAAATGTTCAATTCATAATTATAAATGCAGTTACTGTAGTTTTTAGAGGGCTATGGAAACCACAGTGACATAATGAAATGTTTTTATAGTATTCAAACTAACATTGTACAGGGTGGTACTTCAACTATTTTTGAAAGCTATGAAAATGTTCAATTCATAATTATAAATGCAGTTACTGTAGTTTTTAGAGGGCTATGGAAACCACAGTGACATAATGAAATGTTTTTATAGTATTCAAACTAACATTGTACAGGGTGGTACTTTGACTGTGTATCTGGTGTGTAATAATATTCCATCCAAAGTCTCTATGTAACTCTAGCTAAGAAGAAAGTTTGATCTGTGTCACACAAATACAATAGTTTATTGGATATGCAATTGTGATTTTTTTTCATCTATATGGATATCTAAGTATTTATTTAAGTAACCAATAAATGATAGAGATTCCTAAATAAATGTCCATTATTTATCACTTATTCCGCAATAGCTGTAATTCAGCCATTTTCAATGAAATTCACTAATTTGATAATCGAAACAAAACTTTTGCAAATGTCCATTTTTGTCAAACGTCAACAAATCACTTATCTTCGATTCGAATGAATTTTTGAAGAAATAAGAAAATCATTGTTAAAATATCTAACAGAAAACGACTAATTTCCTGGCTAATAAATACCACATCAGAATATTGAATGATACCTGTCAAATATTGTAAACACACCTAGTTTTAAAAAAATCTTCAACAGCATCTCTAACACACAGATCCCCTATGATTTTTAGTCGACTAATAGTATATTGAATCACGAGCATAGAATGATAGTGGAATAAGCATTCCATGCGAGCTATGCACTATACTTTTTCTACGTCTGTGACAGATAATTTTTCATTTCTTCGACTTGTAGCCATCTGATTTTTCCTTAAGTAGCTCATCAATTAGACAGAGCTTTCATTGCTTTGAATTTTACATTCAATGTGATAGTTAATATGATATCAGAGACGGAAATAAAATGATTACATACATGATTATCTCATTGATTTATCGAACACATTGAAACAAGAGCAATTTTGTGTTAAAGGCGTAGAAAAACGTAATTTCAAGCTTCAGCTGTCATCACTAGGGACAGAAAAGTTGATACATCAATTCTTTGATTAACGAGAGGAATTTCAACAATGATTCTTTTATTGCTCATAAAACGTATTCCCAACCAAAGGGTTATTTGGACGATAGGAAACTGTGATTATAGATCTTCTATAAAATATTCAGAAGTATAATTGCAATCAGATATTTGTTGAACTGTACACAATTCACTGTGTATATTATAATATCGACACATGAAACTTTTTTATTTGTTTGTTGTGCTATCAAAACCACTAAATTTGATTTTCCATTTTACGGAATTGAATAAAGCAATGCTTCATTCTCCATGGTTTTTTATATTTTTTTCCTCTTGATGTAGCATGATTTCAATTATTTCAAATCTAAATTCAGTATGATGAGTTGTTGGGTGTACCCTCGATATCAAATGATAACACAGAAATAATTATATAATAATATTTATTTTCGCAATAAAACAAGTCAACTTACACAACAACATCAGCAACAATATACAACATTCACAACAAAACTACAATACGATAACGAGAAAACAACGTATAGTACAGTCAAGCCCTTACTGGTGCTTCTTGTAGGATACTTTGGCGACAAATCCGAGCTTCTTATCGGAAACGTAGTCTACCACCCTGATGGTCTTGTGGTCAGGCTCCAAAAGGCTGTACGATCCCTTTACTTTGTATCCATCGCGGGTCTCATGTTTGCTCTTGTAGTCCTTGTGCTTGTGGTCGGCTACATGGAAGTCGTAGTGGTATTCAGGGTGAGCCTAAAACAACAAAATTTTTTTGGTGATTCTCAGATTTTGACTAGAAATTCCTGATCCACAACCTCGAAAACCTCTAGGTGTGAATTTTCAAGCAAATTGAACGAGAAATGATGAGATTGTCCGCCATCTTGAAGGCGCCATCTTGGAGCTCAAATCGCATTTTCTACGACACTGTATAGAACCATTTACTTTTCATTTGAATTTATAATAATTGCCACGCTTATGCTCGCGAGGTCTTATTATACGGGGCTGTTATTAAACGTAAATTTGTTGCAGTATTACTGTGAAAGTATCTGTTCCTTCTTGCTTTAGAAGAAATGTTGAAATTGAATTAGAACGGAATCAAGAACAACACTTATCAGTGTTTAATTGCCCAATTATCTGATCGATATAATGCAAAGCAAATTGAACAGAATCGAAATTGAGTGGTATACCGTCATGGAACTAATATACAATTATGTTATAAATTGTGGAGTACCTATTAGTCGGTGAATTATTATTATAGTATCAATTGTTTCCTTTGGCTTTCCTTATGCCAACTAGAATCCTTCTATTAGGGGAGTTTGACAAAAGTATATCAAAATAAAGAGCTAGACTCTTGATTATTATTATTACTCAATCTACTATGTATTGACGTTCGATTTGTTCAAATAGAATAACTCAGAAGACCATTTTCTGCATTGTATACGGTGTAGAGTTTCTATATGAATGAAATGAAGAGAATATAGGCTACTCATGAGTCTTCCGTGAAGACTTTCCCACTTGGTTGCTATTACTGGATCTAAATCCTATAGACTAAACAATCTCTGATAAGTTTCTAGTAATGTCAGTAGTCCTATTTGATATCAGCTCGAGTAGGTTTATATTGTTCGAGCTGTATCTAGCTTCTAGATGACATTTGTTTCAAAGCTCAGAAGTTGTCTGGGATAGATCGAAAACCCCTAGCCTTTAATTTACATTTGATTTGCACTTGTTGTTAGGTGTACATCTCAGGCGATAACTGGAATAGATTGAAATTCCTAGCTGTTCACACTTGGTGCAACTGTCTGGTGATGACAAAGAAATTGGGATGAATTCAAATTTCCTGAGCCTTTGGGTCACATCTGCTGCAAACTCAGCAGATATCTGGGGTAGATTGAAACCCCCTAACCTGGTTTATATTTGACGCTATCATCAGACGAAAACCAGAAGATTGAAACTCCCTAGTTCTTCGGTTTGAACTTAATACAACTGTCAAACAATCACTGGGAGACTGGGATGAACTAAACTCCATAGCTTCTTGGTGACATCTGCTGCAAAGCTCTGAAGATATCTTGGGTAAATTGGAACCCCCTTTGCAATTTGCATTTGATGCAAACCTCAGACGAAGACTAGAGTGGATTGAATCTCCCTTAATCTTTGATTTGCCTTGATGTAAGGTATTAACCTCAGACAATAACTGGAGTAGATTGAAACTCCCTAGCTGTTTACACTTGGTGCAAATCTCAGGCTATGACTGGGGTAGATTGAAACAAACCTCAGACAAAGACCAGACTACATTGGAACTCCCCAGCAACAACTCACCTTAAGATGGACTTCTTTCTCGTGGTGTACATCCACGGGAGTGTGGAAGTCTGATCCGGTGAAGCCGATGGAATCGTGGTGCTTTTCTTCGTGGTGTTTCTCTTCGTGGTGTTTCTCTTCTTGGTGTTTTTCCTCATGGTGTTTCTCCTCTTCTTCTTGGCCACGGCTCAGGCCGATGATGTGATGATCGAGGGGTTGATGGTGGCCCAAAAGGCCTCCAGCAGAGCCTCCGCCGTATTGGGGGGCGGCTAAAGCCAAAGTGGCCAAAGAAAGGAAGATCTGAAGAGGAAAATGGGGTTTGATTGGTGGTTGGAAATAAAAAACAGTAGGTACTTGGACAAAGGCCGAATTGAAGAAATGTTATAAATTCAGTGAGTGTTATCTTGGTCCAGTATCTAAGAAATATCTAGGACTAGACTATTGGTCCGACATCACAGATACGTTTAGTACTAGGGTAAATGTACCAAAGATATCTTTGTGACCAGACTGAATTAACGGATGTCAAATATCACAGGAATAGTTCAAATTTGGAAAAGACGAATGGACTCTTAGTCCAATATAACTCAGATGAGTGTGCTATTGCTTCAGGAATTAGGATATATCTACGACTATTATAAATTGATAGACTCTTGCTTCACCACCATCATAGATAGGTCTTACATTTTGAACTTGAATTAGTGTATAAATAAATGTATAAAACGAAGATTTCTATTTGTCAACTAGAATGAATGAACTCTTGATCCAATATAACATAGAACCAGATTGATTGAATGGATCATAAAGTAAAATATCACAGATATAGCTCCAAACTAGAATGAATAAATTAATTCTTGTTCAATATAACACAGATAAATGTGCCATTGCTACAGTATCAGAGAAATATCTCGGGCTGTGATAAATTGATACCATTAGATCGGTCCAACATCTTAGATACATGTCATGCAAAATTAGAGATATACATCTTAGGACTGGAATGAATAGATGAGTGGGCCCTAATATTATATTTCTATAATGACTGAACTGCATGAACGGATTAAGATGACTGATGAGTCAAATATCCTAGATATAGCTCAAGATTAGAATAAATGAACCCTCACAGATATTTTTTTGTGTAACTGCTTCAGTATCAAATATACTCTTGTATAATATATCACTAACACATCTAGGACTAAGTGATATAAAATAGATATATACATCAAAGTCCAGTATTAATGAATGAGTAATGAGTCTGATATCACAGATATTCATCTGAAACTATGTGGATGAGTGTTCTCTTGGTCCAATATATCAAATAGATAACTCAACTATTGGTCCAATATCTCAGATATATTTGGAATTTGGAATAAGTGACCTTTCTTTCCAAAATATCGAAAGTAATTCGTTTTCTCACAAATAGATTTTCATTTTCAAGTGATTATCAATAAATTGTATACTCACGATGATGGAATTCATGTTGTTTGGTTGTGTTACTGTATGACTTGGTCGATGAACAACTGACGAACTTACCAGCGTCAACCCCCTAATATATAGTAATGATTTTGTGAAAGGGCATTCACAAATTTGTAAAAATTATTAACATAAATGCATTTATAAATCAAATAATTATTCAAATATCAATAATAATATTCGTACCTATTTGGATTTCTCCGCATACATCAAGTATGTATATGCGAACTTGGACTATTTGTCGTTCAAAGAAACAGCTGCAAGATATTGTACAATCAATTAGGCATATTAGAATTATTCCAATTATATCATTAATGGTATAACTATTAACAAGTATTCATTATAGGATATATAAATTTGAAAAATTGATGAGAGTTTTCTATGGGTATCACTCATTTACTAAACATCCACAGGAACTGCAATTATGAGAAAAATGACGAAATTTTTTTATGTTTTATCTGATTGGATGATTTTTATATCCAAGGTTTACTACACTTGTGCAATGACATTGTTCAAAAACAATAGTATATTTTGATGACTAATTATTTTCAGTAGAATTCCGTACAACAACAAATTGCTAAATCGACAGCTTTTTTTATTTCCTGTAATGAAATTGAAGAATAAAATCAATTGAAAACAGAACTGAGGTTTCTGTTACATCACCAATTTCACTAATGATGTATGAAAATGATTATTGCATCGTTTGAAAATGAGAATCTACAGGACGATAATCAAAGCTGTGCAATTGTTTAAAAAACTCTAAAGGCTTTCCGCTTGAAAGGGAATTTTTTGTAATTTTTTCTGAGGTGAAAAATATATCGCACCATCAAATGACCCCCTCAAATTATGATCTAGCCCCCCCAGAGAAAATATATGAGAATATAGTCGTTGAGTATTTTCAATATTTTCCAATATACCCAAAATATCGACCATCAGGAATAACCCGACGAATTTTCAAAGAAAATTTGAGTTTTGAAAGGTATCCAGCATTTGTAATTGCACCTACAGTCACTGTAATATAATCCCAATGGCCTGAGGATTGAACATGGGTGTTATTTAGGGGGTGGCAGGAGGGGGCAATTTCCCCTCCCCCTGATTTTGTACAAGAAGATAAGTTCACATTGAATCTTCCTGTTTTATCTATTCATATAAAATTTCTCCATTTTCTTCATTAAAACAGTTTTCATGTCCCGAGATTCTTCAAAATCTTCTATATACAAATGAAAATATGTTATTTCAATATACTTGTAGTGGGGACAAATCAGGTATGGATTGTCAAAAAATTTCACTTTCATGGAAAAAATATACAGCTCTATTGATAGGTATTAATAAACAGTGATACCTTGTGTGTTCTCATACTATACTATGAATATTTTTTAAAGGAACAAGACAGAATATTTAAAAATATCTCGAATGATAATTCACCTAGAGACAGAATTCAAAATACTTTTCAATTGCTCATCAGATCATTTTGTATCACTTGGAACAAAATGAGAACACGAAACTAAATAATATATAACATACTCCAGGTAGCCTCGTGGTAGAAGCGTTAGTATTCTAATTCACGTTCGATTGCCGGTGTGGGTTCAATTCCTCGCTGCAGAAATTTTTCTGATGACCTAAGAAAGTGTCAGAAAGAATAAATTCAAAACATTTTCATTTGAATTGGGAGATGTATGAAATTTTTCAAAAATTGCACAACTGTGATGATCATCCTGTAGAATCTCATTTTAGGTTCAAGCCAATAAATCGAACATTCAGAAACTGAAAATTATCATTTTAGTATCACTGAGTTTTTGTATGTGATACCAGAGACTGGATGGATCATATCGATATCTGTATTTATGATTGTTTTTTTTTTTTCAGAATGCGCTGGACAACTACACTTTCCTGCCATTTAGTGTGTTCCTGGCAATTTTCTGGATTTTCACGTACAAGAAAGTTCCGGAAACTAAAAACAAAACCTTCGAAGAGATCGCTGCTTTGTTCAGGCACGGAAATGGAAGGTGAGAAAAAAAATATACGAACACAAAAGAAATTAAGGAAATTGAAAAAATTCGCAAAGCATTGAAAATTTTATATTTTGATATTTCCTTTTCTTTGATTTGATCAGTCTGTCGCTGGTCTAAACAGAAGAGTGGAAATATCATATTTCCCTCAAATCTTCTGATCAACGAGAAATATAATTTTGCAAATTGAACAAAAATTTAAAAAAAAATCTGTCACTCGAAGACTTTTTGTTATTCCTATGCTTCTTTATACGTCAAAATTCATCGACCTCTATTAGGTCTTTTTAAGTAGTACAGACAAAAGCATTTGAATCAATAATTCCTAATTCAGAATACATAAAATGATATTTTGCGCAGTCTCAAGTAAAATGTTATGGGACTTTGAGAAAATTCGGTATTTATGTTCGACCACCCTGTAATATGGTGAAGGCTATCTACAGGGAGTTTTCGAAATTGAGGGGATAAATAAAATGGATGATAGAAGACGAAAAACAAAACGAAGAAGGAATAGATTTTTGCCTGAAAAAAAAATATTTTGGTTGATAGTGAGCATCAAAGTTTGTGAATCATTGATCAAAGGTTGAAAGCCCAACCCTAGCGTCTACTTTCGGCAAGTTCACAAGCACCAGAAATATCAATGGCTTTTACAATGTTGCCGGGCATTCAATAATAGTTTTTAAATGTAGTATGTTGGAAGCGCACATTTTTTTAAACATCTCATTTTATGTATTTCCCCAGTTTCGTAAACACCCTGTATATTAATCATGTGTTCCACGCAGGGTTAGTTTTCGGGAGAGTCGCCTGTACGGGTGAGTGAATAAAATAGCAGGAATTCGCTCTAATCGCATGTTCATTGTGCATGGCTTTAAAGGCTCTTCTTTTGTTTTCCACACCACCTTTGCATTTCTACCATCTGATGATCTAATAATAATAAACTCCTAGATAGTGCCTTGGGAGAGAGAGAGAAAAGAATCAACGTCAACACAAGAGTGAGACACAAGGTCTTCTCAGTCTTTACAGGGTGTCCCACTGAAATGTGACAGCCCCCCTTTATCATCGTCATTCTCAACATATTTTGGAATATTCATTTTACTTGATTATTTGGGAATTTCTCTTCTCGTTTCTTTAAAATATGATTTGTCCTATCACACATACAGAGAAGTGCACAAAAAACGACCAGGATAGATATTTTGGGAATTCAAAAACTTTCCTGAAATGAATTTTTACGTTTTTTTTTTTTCAATATGTGCTCACTTTTTCTTTATATCAACAAAATACTGGTTGTCTCAGAAAAAAATGTTTTTAAAATGAAATGACCCATATTTTTTTCCATAATTCGATGAATCTCGTCAATTTGAACTGAAGAATATTAGTCATTCATATATTATCATCGATATCATTATTTTTCTCTATCTTGTTGATATGTGGAAAGAGTTGTTTGAGAAATCATTCCAGAAAAGTTTTTCAATTGCCCAAATATGTTCAGAATCACTAGGATAGGGAGGGTGACTTTAAGTGGGAAACCCTGTACTTGTCTCCAACATAAAATGATGAAAATGTTATGTTGGCAGCAGTAAAAATGAGAAGAAGACCCTACTAACCTCAATATCTAGTGTTGCAAATAACATATTTTTTTAATATTCAACGTTTGACAGAATGGGAAGAAGTATTTTTTCTCTTGCCCATCGTCAACTGAACTTCTCTATTGAAGTGTAAATGTTATACTATATTATTAGATCTTCACTACCATCACACACAGTGTTGCCAACTCAAAATATTCAAGTAGTTATAATAAAATTCCAAGTAATTCTCAGGATGATCCTAATAGTAGCAATGTCACTGTTGCTAGTCCTTCGCGATTGGTTGAAATTCTGTTGTGATTTTGTATCTCGTTTTTTCAGATATTAATTGTTGTTGGGTTGGCATCAACATCAATAATTCTATTTCACGCCCCACCACGGTAACTAGATTTGAGTTAGCTCAATTTTTATTTCCGTTCGTTTGAATTTCGTTCGTACATTCACTTTAAATTGGATAATTTATTTGCTCGAGATATAAGATTTAATTATTTACTTATTTGACGCAATCAAGATTGAAATTGATATAATAATACTCTTGTCATGTTTCGGATAATGACTTTAATTCCGATGATTTTTTTTTGACCGATGGGCTGGGTCCGGACCTGTTACCGAAAAACGTGTTCTTTCTGCATGAGCTAGATTAAAACAGAGAAACATTTCTTGACATTTTGACGACGAAGAAAATATAATCACATTGAGAAGAGACGAAATTTCTAATTCGGATATATTTTACAGCAGTTTCGAAAAGCTCAATATGATATACATTTTTTTTTTTTCATACTTTGTTCTTGATAATTATTTATTGCACCTCATAATAAGAAACAATTACTGTTTCTGAGAAAAGTATTGATGTAGTATAGGTCCGTTTGGAATGAGCAACACTGTACAGGGTGTCCCGAATTCGAGCGGTATCATTGGGATCTCGGTAACCATAACAGATTCAAAGTTGTGCAATTTGGTGCTGATCAAACTATCGCCTCAAAAATTTTTAGATTTCGAAAACTTCCGAAGATATTTAAAAAATAAATCAAATATCTGCGATTTCGTTTTCTGTTTTTTCTGACTTCAATCAATCAATATTGTTTTCCGATAATATTACAGTTTTATGAACAAGAAGTTCACACAGATATACAGGGTGACATATGAAAACTTCCCACCCTCAATATCTTCCTGTCAGTAAATAATAAGAAGATTCGAAAGGACAGATTGCTTTTATTCTCGAGGGGGACTCCTAAAATTGATTTTTCTAGCCCCTTGGTTCAACCTCCTAGGTGGGAAAATGAAAATTTTTATTTGGCTCATTAAAAATCTGAAAAAATTCACATAGACTAATTCGATGTCGCAATGAACGAATCTGGGGTGGAAATCGAAAAATTTTGGAAAATGAAGACGTAGTAGTCTACCGGAGTGCTCCTTTTGGCAATAAAAGCGAAGAGCTGACTTTGAGCACCGATATCTCGAAAACTATCTGTCTTATCGGGCTGATCATGGTCTCATTCGATTCAGCGTATCATTTTCTACTGGAAAAGCGACAATTCGCGTGGATTTCCGCCGTTTTTTTGGCACTTTCGGCCGTCCGAAGATGGCTCGGTGACTATATCGTACCGAAGTCTCAGGTGGGAAAATGCAAATTTTTATTTGACTCATTAAGAACCAGAAAAAATTCACATATACTGGTTCGATGTTGTAATGAACGAATCTGTGGTGGAAATCGAGAAATGTTAGAAAATGGAGACGTAGTAGCCTACCGGAGTGCTCCTATTGGCAATAAAAGTGAAGAGCTGACTTTGAGCACCGATATCTCGAAAATTATCTGTTTTATCGGGCTGATCATGGTCACATTCGATTCCGCGTGTTATTTTATACGGGTAAAGCGATAATTCTCGTGGATTTTTGCCGTTTTCTGGCACTTTCGGCCGTCCGAAGATGGCTCGGTGACTATATCGTACTGAAGTCTTAGATAGGAAAATGACAATTTTAATTTGGCTCATTAAAAATCTGAAAAAATTCACATAGACTAATTCGGTGTCGTAATAAACGATTCTGTGATGGAAATCAAGAAGTTTTGGAAAATGGAGACGTAGTAGCCTACCGTAGTGCTCCTATTGGCAATGAAAGCGAAAAGCTGACTTTGAGCACCGATATCTCGAAAACTGTCTGTCCTATCGGGCTGATCATGGTCTCATTCGATTCAGCGTGTCATTTTCTACTGGAAAAGCGATAATTCGCGTGGATTTCTGGCACTTTCGGCCGTCCGAAGATGGCTCGGTGACTATATCGTACAGAAGTCGTAGGTGGGAAAATGAAAATTTTTATTTTGCCTATTAATACCATTTGATAGAGCAGAAAAAGTGGCAAAGATAATATCAAACTCATTCAGTTATATCACTCCAAATAAAGTCAGAAGAAAATAAAAACGAAATCGTGGATAATCGTTTTTTTCTGCAAATATCTTCGGACATATTCGGAATTTTTAAACTTCGTATCTGTTATGGTTACCAAGATCCCAATGATACCGCTCGAATTTGGGACACCCTGTACATCCATTCGGGATTTCGGTGGTATCATGACAAATAAGTGAATTTTCTTCGTCGGTGCAACAGGCTACGAAACAAAGACCCTATTAGTTCGTGACTTTTTTTGGACCACCCTACGAGGACTAAGGGATGCTCCTGAAACCGAGCCTTGTGTGTCTTCGATATCATAGAAAATATCGTTTTTTCTGTGACTGGAGAAAGGTTCGAAATTTCATCTATGTTGACAGGTTCAATGTCACTTTTCGTAAATCACTTTTTTCCCACGGGAAAGAAGTGAATACTTTATATATATATACTTTTTCTGCAACCGACACAAAAGTCGTCCATTTTGATACCAAAATTAGCTCTTAAATTGACGTTTCTATTACTGACACAAAAATAGGTATGTTGCTAGGCAACATATTTAGTTCCTAGGAGCTGAAGTTGAATTTTAGTTCCTAGGAGCTAAAGTTGAACTTTAGCTCCTAGGAACTAAAAAGGATCTACTGGACGTCATCAAGAATAAAGAACATTGTGACGGTTTGTTATTTGGGTTGAGACGCATACCTGATTTGTTTCCGATTTCAGCAGATTTGGCATTTCATACCCATGCTGGAGATATAAATACACCTTATTATAGTTTAGTATTGGAATAATGAACATCTCAGTTAAGTATTTTTGTTTTGATCAGGGAAGCCTTCAAGATTCAAATACTTGCTTGATCTGTGTTTCATTCGTTATCCTCGGGATGAATAACTTGTTTTTGAATAATCACGGCAAGCAATAGTTTTTTTGTCTCAAACAACGATATTGTTTACCTTCATTTGATTATCAAGTCAAACACAGTGTAGTATGGAGAGGAATGAATAATCACTATTATCATTGTTGATATGCTCACTAA